TTAGCGTTAGAGTTTAATTTGAAAAATTAAATATTAATTTGGCAAAATCAAATAGCGATAGTACAATTGTAAATACCCGAATCACATACAGTCAACATTATCTGGTAAAATAGGAATTGAACCCTTATGACCAATATTATCATTATATGATGATCTATTCAAATTACAAATCATGTGATATTATTGATGAATATTAATAAAAAACATTTTTTAAAAAAATATTTAAATGTGCATTATTAACGTTAATATGATAACTTCGCACTCTTTAAATGCACAATCTTTCTAAATAGCTCTCTAAATGCACTTTCAATTTCTGGCCTAAACGTATTTTGACCTTCAGAGATACACTTTTTCTTATTATTCTTATTATTCTCTAAATGCCTGTTAATAAAATTAGAAAAACAACTCAAAGAATATGAAAGACCTAAATCGGCCAAGAAGTTTGGTCCTATAGCGTGTATTTAGAAAGGTCTGTCTGTAATCTTAGATGTAGCACTAAGTTTTACTCTCTTACTGTATAAAGTTCACTAGCTCATGTTTTATAGCTTCGTATTGCTACCTTATTTTACTGGAAGTACATATCTGTCTTAGAGCTCAACATCACTGATTATAAAAGTTTGGTGGGAGATTATATCCGGCAATGATAAAGAAGTTGAAAACCTTCAATTAGCTTTTTCAACAGCATTAAATTTGAAAAAAAATTTCTTGAAACCGGAAACCTCAAAGGTAATTGTAAAAGCTATTTTTTCTCATCAGATGAATGATGAATAATATTTTTATAATAGAATGAGAGATCCATTATCGGACCTACAAGAGCTTTGCAAGCTACTTCAAAACTATATAAATTTAATAGAAGCAGACAAAGATATTAAATACTTTGAGTAAATATATTATTTTTTAATGCTTAAATATTTTATTTGTGGTTATTAACTTTTATTGTTTTGATAGTTCTATTAAAAGTGGTATTATTTACATCTACAATCTGGATACTAAACTAAAGAAAAAAATATCCAAAGGACATATGGACTATTTGTCAAAAAAAATATCTCTTCCAGTTAATGATGCTAGTTCGTTATATGTATCAAATTATATCAAAGATATTTTGGCATACTATACCAATTTTAATAGTGCATCTAGAGATGGGTTTCATGTGTGTGCATGATTAAAGAATCATGCGCATGATAACGTTTCCTATCAAAATTTCTCTCCTCTCGATTGTTTTTGCCTTTTTTTTATCATGCGATATCATGCGCATGAAACAATTTGTGCGCATTAATGTGCATTCATGTGCATTTTATTATAAAATGCGCATTTTTCCTATCACTAAGTGCACCTCTATGTAATAATTTAAAAAAGCCCGAAATTTTCCCAAGCTGCAAACATGAAGAAAGAATACAATGTGAAATATATCAAATTATATTGAATCATATGTAAGCAAATCATATGCAAGTGAAATTTGGTATTTCATATATTGACTTAATTTAAATTTATATGTAGAGAGCAGTATTTTAATGGTTATTAATTGTGGCAATAGAACTTGCACCAATTAAATAGTATGTATATATATATATCTTGCTGGTTATTAGTATAACACCCGACATATTGCAGTA